ATACACACACACAGACGCACAAAAATAAAGTACCTCAATTTTTCATGGAGGTAATAATAAACCAACAAATTGAATTGGTATGGTCTAAGTAAACCTAGAGGAAGTTCTGGATTATTGGTATCATTTTCTATAGGCGTTTTAAAAGTTATGGTTGAGTAAATCCACTCACTCACTCACTCACTCACTCACTCACTCACTCACTCACTCACTCACTCACTCACTCACTCACTCACTCACTCACTCACTCACTCACTCACTCAGTCCTCTTGCACTGCGTGGAGCCTACCGGGCGAACTGTTATATCAATTCATTTATTTTCCTAGCAACACAGAATTTTTTCTCAGACGTTCTTAGATTAAACAGTTCTCCACAATTTTGTTACGCTGCACAGTTTGTGATTCTCTAGATGTGATTTTTAGTGAAGTTATTACATATTACTCTCCAAGCAGATGTTAGTGAGAACATGTTGATCCTTCTATTACTAGTGTAAGTTCCGTATACTTAGCAGATAAGGAGGCCAGGCGATGAGTAGTGTGGAGATGAATCTATTCTGCTGTAGAACAATATACAGGTCTACCATGTGCTCCAGTTCACCTCTGACCCCGGGTTGGCTCATACCATTCCAACCCGGGGGTGTTCTATTTCTGCTACTTACACTCTTCCCCCCTTACATGAAGAAAACTTCTCCTGAAGTAAACAGCTTATAATACTGTATATAGGTCAACATAACAAAATGCAACAATAGTAACGGAAAACGGTCCGTATCAGTTAACGAATGAAACAGTAGTAACGTTACAATTATAGATTCTACTGAATAAAGCTGAAGTCTATAGATCCATAAAGCTGATCCTGCTAGGTGTCAGGAGACACGGAACGAACACTAGTACATAGTGATAGACATCAGCAAGTATTACCGTAGGCTATAAATACGCAGTGTTGCTTGGCATCTAAGTAACAGGAAGGCATAAGAAAAGAGTACAAATAATGTTTGCTCCTAGCGAGCTTCTTTATGCCACATGTACTTTCTACTAATGTAGTCCTGTTCAACAGTCCTGTACATGTTTATCAGTCCGCACTGTACAGCATTATCAGTCCACATCAAAGTCGTTGTATCGCAACGGCGGCCGCACTGCACGACCAGACCTCGTGCTTCGTTGAGCTGGATGGCTTCGCGGTTGTGCGTGTACAGGGGGTGCGTCATTGACGGGCTGAGCTGTATTCTCTGGAAGCGGCCTGTTGGCGGGCTGAGCTGCATTCTCAGGAGGCGTGTGGCACTGCTTCAGTCTATTGTAATGGACGACCTGAGTTTTGTGATTGGTTTCATTCTCGATGCAGTAGTTTAAACCCGACTGCCGCACGTCCCTGACCACATATGGTCCCTTCCACTGAGGCTGGAGTTTCTTTCGCTGCTTCGTCGGATCGTGTAGCCACACTCGGTCACCAACTGCATACGGCTTGTAGCAAACGGTGCGATCGTACGCCGCTTTTTGTCGGTCACTCGCTTGCCGTGTGTTTTGTGTCACGTGGGCGAAGGCGGCGCGGAGGCTGCTTTTCAGGCTTCTGGCGTACGACGTGGTCGAATTCGTAGCTGATGTGGCATGTGGTG